GTAAACAGACAAGGACCATCCTGAACATACATGGCCTACAGAGGGCGATGATTACACTACATAGGCAGCCAATGGGCAATTATTACACTATGCAGCCAACACAATGATGGAGTGCCGGGGTCAGGAGTATGGAGCATAGAGCCCCTTACATTGCTGGTCAGGTGGAAGAAAACATCCCCCAGCTGGCCAAGAAGACTATGTTCCACCATTGGTGTCAGAAGGAGGAAATTCTGAGGGAGGAAATAGGGAGGAAATACTGAGTGGTCTGAGGGAAGTAGAGGAGCTGAGGGGTCTGAGGGGAGTAGAGGAGCTGAGGGATCTGAGGGAAGTAGAGGAGCTGAGGGATCTGAGGGAAGTAGAGGAGCTGAGGGGTCTGAGGGAAGTAGAGGAGCTGAGGGGTCTGAGGGAAGTAGAGGAGCTGAGGGATCAGAGGGAGGTAGAGGAGCTGAGGGATCAGAGGGAGGTAGAGGAGCTGAGGGATCAGAGGGAGGTAGAGGAGCTGAGGGATCAGAGGCAGGTAGAGGAGCTGAGGGATCAGAGGCAGGTAGAGGAGCTGAGGGATCAGAGGCAGGTAGAGGAGCTGAGGGATCAGAGGCAGGTAGAGGAGCTGAGGGATCAGAGGCAGGTAGAGGAGCTGAGGGATCAGAGGCAGGTAGAGGAGCTGAGGGATCAGAGGCAGGTAGAGGAGCTGAGGGATCAGAGGCAGGTAGAGCAGCTGAGGGATCAGAGGCAGGTAGAGGAGCTGAGGGATCAGAGGCAGGTAGAGGAGCTGAGGGATCAGAGGCAGGTAGAGGAGCTGAGGGATCAGAGGCAGGTAGAGGAGCTGAGGGAGGTAGAGGAGCTGAGGGATCTGAGGGAGGTAGAGGAGCTGAGGGATCTGAGGGAGGTAGAGGAGCTGAGGGATCAGAGGCAGGTAGAGGAGCTGAGGGATCTGAGGCAGGTAGAGGAGCTGAGGGATCTGAGGGAGGTAGAGGAGCTGAGGGATCTGAGGGAGGTAGAGGAGCTGAGGGATCTGAGGGAAGTAGAGGAGCGGAGGGAATGCTACTGAGGCTAGAGGACTTTGGGGACCCTAAAGAGGTAGAGGGGGTAGTGTGGAAGAAGGGCTCTGAGGGGGTAGTGTGGAAGAAGGGCTCTGAGGGGGTAGTGTGGTAGAGGGCTCTGAGGGGGTAGTGTGGTAGAGGGATCTGAGGGGGGGTAGTGTGGTAGAGTGCTCTGGTCCCTTGATAGGGTTGGTGGGCAGCAGAGCTCTGAGGGAAGAGGAGGCTGTAGGGCTCAGGGAGACTCTCAGGTAGGGAAGGGGAGGTTCTTGGTCAACAACGGTCCTCCCACCTGCATTTAATTTTTCAGGCCTCCTTACAGAACGCCTGCCAGGAAATGAAGGCAACCTTCATCTTCTTACCATCTCCTGGATACCAAGGGGAATGGAGTAGGACAGTGGCACTCATACTTAGAGGGGGTCTGTTTGCGCAGCATCGCCTAATGGGTGGTTAGCAGTCAGTGTTGAAGATCTGGGGGTTCAGTCCAATACCTTTCCATGACACAGGCTCTGGAAGTGCCCAGTGCTGGAATTCAGAGTTCCAGGAGCCCACCACCACTCTATACAATGTCCTGGATACTACAGCATACTCAGCAACCAGGAGAGGAAACCTCTCAACCCATGCTGTCCTCCTCCTACCCACACTGGGCTGCCATTGGAGGGAAGAGAACAGACTCCTCCCCCACAGCTCTCTAATCCACCAGCAGCATCTTTGTGCTATTCAATCCAATCCCTTCTCTTCCTGCAGAGAGTGACATCACTCCTGTCAAAACCAGTTCAGAAACCAAACAAACCCAACAGAGAAAAGGGGATTTCTGATTTGACAAAGCCAAGAGGGTTCTGGGTTCAGAAAAATGTATAAAACACTAAGCAGTCCGAACTAAATGTGTTCCCATGGGGGCCGTAGTTCCTAAATGTCCAGCAACCCTCCTATTCCCCCCTCTCCCCTCCCCCACATCCCCATCCTATCATTGTGTGACCGATACCATGCAAATCATTCTTACTGTCATTTCCCAAAGTTATCCGTCTACAAGGAGACCTGTATAGATCACATGACCAATGAGGATGGAGGAGGACCAGAGTCACATGACTGAGAGGATACTAAACCTCACCCTGGAGATCATCTACCTGCTGACCGGAGAGGTGAGGAGGATTCTGGGAGGTCACATGTCATCACTCTTATCTCTATTAATAAAACACAGACCTGACCGGAGAAGTGAGGAGGATTCTGGGAGGTCACATGACATCACTCTTATCTCTATTAATAATACACAGACCTGACCGGAGAGGTGAGGAGGATTCTGGCAGGTCACATGACATCACTCTCATCTCTATTATTAAAACACAGACCTGACCGGACAGGTGAGGAGGATTCTGGGAGGTCACATGACATCACTCTAATCTCTATTAATAAAACACAGACCTGACCGGAGAGGTGAGGAGGATTCTCGGAGTCTAACATGATGTTCCTATTGGTTCCTCAATACAGAGATTTCCTCTGAAGTCAGGTGATCATATGACCATCACAGTGCCTCTATGTGACTCCCTAAACCCTGAGAGACCCAACATGGAGAAGATTCTAGAAGTCACCAAGAAGATGATGGAGCTGCTGACAGGAGAGGTGAGCGGTGCCGGGAATTCTGGGACATTCTCCAGTAACAGACAAGGGATGTGTCTGGATGGTGACTGTATCATTGTGTGTGTCAGATTCCTTTAAGGTGTCAGGGTGTCACTGTCTATTTCTCCATGGAGGAGTGGGAGTATTTAGAAGGACACAAGGACCTCTACAAGGACGTCATGATGGACAATCAGCCGCCCCTCACATCACCGGGTAAGAGGAGACTTTATTGGAAAGGAGAGATCAGTACGGAGGATCCACCTAGATCCCCCATCATCTGATAAACACATAGAAACAATGGATTCAGTCAATGTGTGTGTTTCCTACAGATGGATCCAGTCATGGGAACCCACCAGAGAGATGTCCCCGTCCTCTGTATTCCCGGGATTCCACACAGGAAGGTCACACCATCCCTCACCATCATCAGGTAGATGGATCCAGTCATGGGAACCCACCAGAGAGATGTCCCCGTCCTCTGTATTCCCGGGATTCCACACAGGAAGGTCACACCATCCCTCACCATCATCAGGTAGATGGATCCAGTCATGGGAACCCACCAGAGAGATGTCCCCGTCCTCTGTATTCTCGGGATTCCACACAGGAAGGTCACACCATCCCTCACCATCATCAGGTAGATGAGGAACAATCACTGATAGTATCATTAGGATCTGTACATTATCTGCATTGTTACCATTGATGTCATTTTATAATATATTCAGAGTGGAAACCTGAGAAAGTCTAAAGTTAAAGGCAAAGAAGAGATAAAAGAGGAAGAGGATGAGGATGGGGGGATGGAGGAGTCAGAGATTTCAGAAGGACACAAAGATCTGTACCAGGATACCATGGTGGAGTCATCCAGCTACAGGAACCCACCAGAGAGATGTCCCCGTCCTCTGTATTCCTGGGATTCCACACAGCAAAGCCACATCATCCCTCACCATCATCAGGTAGATGATTGATAATTATTGGTAGTTATGATTTGTATGCAAGTTTATATGTTACAATAATAAATGTTTTACTTTTTATCCAGAGTGGAAACCTCGGGGATTATAATATTGTTGTTAAAGAAGAGTTTATAGAGGAGGATGAGGTGTATGGAGTAATGGAGGAACTTTCAGAAGAACACAAGGATATGATGGAGCCACCTAATACCAGGAACCCACCAGAGAGATGTCTCCGCCCTCTGTATTCCCGGGATTCCACACAGGAAGGTCACACCATCCCTCACCATCATCAGGTAGGTGGAGTTGAGGGTCGGGAACATAAAGTGATGGAACACTCTGACATGTGGAGACGATGTGTGGACTCTACAAGATGAGATGTTCTATGTGATCTCACATCATAGATCCTTCTATGTTACAGATGTTATTTTCTGCCGTTCTGTTGGTTTAGGGTGAAGATGTGATGAACATGAAAGTTGAGGGTGAAGTAGAAGAGACGTATGTGAGGGATGATCAGCAATATACGGAGGAGGCTGGAATGAGGAGGACATTCCTAGTGGAGGATACTCCTACAAAGATCAGCACAGGTGAGAGTCACAAGTCTGAACTTGGACCTTCTTGTCTATCAGAAATCACATGACCCAGTACCTAGACTTGAGGTTGTGTGAAGAGCATGCCCCTCCCCCCAGCCCCCATTGGTTCCTGCTCCTCTGACAAGGCGGTGTAAATGTAGAAGTGATCTGGGAGAACCAAAGGCTCTTTGAAGAGGGGAGGAGTCCCAGCTGGTTTGGGACATCCACAGAGAACATCTGCTCCCTCCTATCTCCCTGATCCAGATGGAATATTGATGGAAGTGAACTAACCCTCTCCTATCTATTGATGATGTTTTTCTATTTTTCCAGGACCTTCCATGGAGAAACCCTCAAAGGATCGTCGCACTTTATCTCCAGGTTGTAAAATGGAAGATGAGGACATCCCAGGAGATTGTGCCGGAGAAAAGACAATGAGCTCCACTATGGATGGTGGACTTCCCAGTGTGGAGAGACCATGGAATCCCTCTGACTCTGAGCAACCTCGTACTGTGGGGGATGGGGCCGGGGCTCCATGTGCTGGAGAAAAGACAATGAGCTCCACTATTGATGGTGGACTTCAACGTGTGATTAGACCATCAAATTCCTCTGCCTCTGAACAACCTCGTACTGTGAGGGTTAGTGCTGAAATTCATGGGGAGAAGAAAGTTTATTGTCTTTTATATTCCTGCCCTGAATGCGGGAATTTTTTTTCCCAGAAATCAGACTTCGTTTTACATCAAAGACTACACACAGGGGAGAAACCGTATTCTTGCCTTGAGTGCGGAAAAAGCTTTTCACTCAAGGCCAATCTCAATGCACATCTCAGGTATCACACGGGTGAGAAGCCGTATTCCTGCCCTGAGTGCGGGAAATGTTTTGCACACAAGCCCCATCTTAACACACATCGGAGGTCTCATACGGGTGAGAAACCTTATTCCTGTTCTGAGTGTGGAAAATGTTTTGCGGAAAAATCAGGCCTTGTAAAACATCAAAGAACTCACACGGGTGAGAAACCGTATTCCTGTCCTGAGTGCGGGAAATGTTTTACACAGAATTCACAGCTTGTTAGACATCAAAGATCTCACACGGGGGAAAAGCCGTATTCCTGTCCTGTGTGCAGGAACTGTTATTCAAAAAAGTCACTTCTTATCAAACATCAGAGGACTCACACAGATGAGATGCCATAGTCTTGTCCTGAGTGTTTTTTCACGGAAGTCTAATCTTGTTGAACCCCTCGAGGTGTATTAGTGTCCTGAGTGCGGGAAATGTCTACTCTGTGGCTGATATGTTGCCGTACATCAGAGATCTCACACTGGGAAGAAGCACACCTTGATATACACCTCAGAAAACACGTGGCTGAGTTCTCCTCTGATCTTTCTAATGTAGACACACTTTAAATTCTTGAGTAAACTTTTTTCTTTATAAAGTTTCTGTCTGGCTTAGTCTGAGAGAAGGGGGTAATATTGCTGGTTGGGTCCCTCTAGCAGTGTAGTCTGATCTCCCCTGACCTTCAGCAGAAGCTTCCATGGAGGACATCATGGTGAGAGAGAAGGGGGGGGTTACTGCTGGTTGGGTCCCTCTAGCAGTGTAGTCTCTGATCTCCCCTGACCTTCAGCAGAAGCTTCCATGGAGGACATCATGGTGAGAGAGAAGGAGAGGGGGGGGGGGTCACTGCTGGTTGGGTCCTTCTAGCAGTGTAGTCTGATCTTCCCTGACCTTCAGCAGAAGCTTCCATGGAGGACATCATGCTGAGAGAGAAGGAGGGGGTCACTGCTGGTTGGGTCCCTCTAGCAATGTAGTCTGACCTTCAGCAGAAGCTTCCATGGAGGACATCATGCTGAGAGAGAAGGAGGGGGGTCACTGCTGGTTGGGTCCCTCTAGCAATGTAGTCTGACCTTCAGCAGAAGCTTCCATGGAGGACATCATGGTGAGAGAGAGGGGGGGTCACTGCTGGTTGGGTCCCTCAAGCAGTGTAGTCTGATCTCCCCTGACCTTCAGCAGAATCTTCGATGCAAAGCTGCTCCAGACTTTGCACCATGCAGTTTTAGTAAATAACCCCCAGAGTGCTACAAATATGCATACATAAACACATTCATCTTACAGTTATCTATCACTTCCTAGCTAATGAACTTTTATAATCATCTGTATAGAATAGAGATACGCTGAAAATTATGTAACTTCTGTTATAGCTGGTCCATGATACACTGAAAAATCCTTAGCTTGTGTTATAGCTGGACCTCGATACACTGACAATTTCTTAACTACTGTTATAGCTGGTCCTTGATACACTGACAATTACGTAACCTCTGTTATAGCTGGTCCACGATACACTGACAATGACGTAACTTCTGTTATAGCTGGCCCACAATACACAGAAAATGACGTAACTTCTGTTATAGCTGGTCCACGATACACTGAAAATTACGTAACTTCTGTTATAGCTGGTCCTCGATACACTGACAACTACGTAACCTCTGTTATAGCTGGTCCATGATACACTGAAAATGACATAACTTCTGTTATAGCTGGTCCACGATACACTGACAATGACGTAACTTCTGTTATAGCTGGTCCACGATACACTGAAAACGACGTAACCTCTGTTATAGCTGGTCCACGATACACTGACAATTACGTAACTTCTGTTATAGCTGGTCCACGATACACTGAAAACGTCGTAACCTCTGTTATAGCTGATCTACGATACACTGAAAATGAAGTAACCTGTTATAGCTGGTCCACGATACACTGACAATTATGTAACTTCTGTTATAGCTGGTCCATGATACACTGAAAATGACGTAACCTCTGTTATAGCTGGTCCACGATACACTGAACATTACGTAACTTCTGTTATAGCTGATCCACGATACACTGAAAATGAAGTAACTTCTGTTAGAGCTGGTCCACGATACACTGACAATTACGTAACTTCTGTTATAGCTGGTCCACGATAGACTGACAATTACGTAACTTCTGTTATAGCTGGTCCATGATACACTGAAAATGACGTAACCTCTGTTATAGCTGGTCCACGATACACTGAAAACGACATAACCTCTGTTATAGCTGGTCCACGATACACTGAACATTGCGTAACTTCTATTATAGCTGATCCACGATACACTAAAAATGAAGTAACTTCTGTTATAGCTGGTCCACGATACACTGACAATTACGTAACTTCTGTTATAGCTGGTCCACGATACACTGACAATTACATAACTTCTGTTATAGCTGGTCCACGATACACTGAACATTACGTAACTTCTGTTATAGCTGATCCACGATACACTGAAAATGACATAACTTCTGTTATAGCTGGTGCATGATACACTGACAATGACGTAACCTCTGTTATAGCAGTGTCAGGGAGCGAGGAGCCAGACACACAAGGAGGTGCAATTAAAGGTAGGTTTATTTACACAGAAACAAGGCAAGAGTCTATGCAAGTCCGACAGCAACAGCGGATGACTTGGTAGGACAGAAGTTCCCCTGCCGAGGTTGTCTTCCAGGATAATCAAGTCGAGAACCAGCAGGATTCGTAGCCAGAGTCAGAAGCCAGGAAGAATGGTCGCCAGAGTCGGGGTCAGAAGCCAGGAGGACTCTAACCCAAAGCCGAGTCGGTATCCAGGAGAGCAAAGAGATAACTAAACAGGAGATTGCTTCTGTGCAACAGACAGGACACGAATGCAATGGACAGCTGCAAACAGCAGACTTATATGTGATAAGCCACCACCTGTCAGGGCTCCAGGGTATGACCAGAGGTATGTGAACTGACGCAGGAAAACAGCGCAGGCTTCAGATATGTTATAAACAATATAATTTATTAACACTAACAATACATAAACGCAGTGCAATACTAAAACATAACACAGTGCAAACAAACCAAACCACCCACAGTTAACAATACATACAATGCAAGCGTAGTCAGGCAGGCCGGGTCAATAACAATCGGGCAGGTAGGAACAGGAGGAGCAGGCAGAGAGTAGTCGGGTCACGAGCTGGGTACAGCAACTAACGGGCAGGTAGGTACAGGGGGTCAGGCAGAGAGTGGTCGGGGTCACAAGCCAGGGATCAAACAGGAGAAGTCATTAGAGGTCCGGATCAGGCAGGGTCAGCAACGAATCAGTCAGACAGGAACGCAGGTAAGATACAGGGGCCCATAGAAAAGCACACACCAAGGCACAGACTGCAGGTCTGGCCATCCCTTAAATACACCTGCATAATCAGCTTCAGGTGTTTGGCTGACTACAGGGTTGAGTCTCTGATTGCTGAGAGCACCCGCTGGCCGCCCTGGTACTGCAGCCCACAAGGCAGGTGAGTCCCACCATTACTGGCAAGTCCATTCCTGACACCACCTCCTGGGAGGAGCCGCAGAGGGCTGAAAGCATAAAGGATCCCACAATGCTTTGCAGACCTACGATGGATGCCAGCACATGGAGCAGCACAAGCCCTGAGGAAAGGTAGGACCTTGATAAGCTGGTCCACAATACACTGACAATTATGTAACTTCTGTTATAGCTGGTCCACGATACACTGACAATTACATAACCATTGTTATAGCTGGTCCACGATACACTGAAAATGACGTAACCTCTGTTATAGCTGGTCCACGATACACTGACAATGACGTAACCTCTGTTATAGCTGGTCCACGATACACTGAACATTACGTAACTTCTGTTATAGCTGGTCCTCGATACACTGACAATTATGTAACTTGTAATGGAGTAATGGAGGTTAAGTGGGAACATCAGGTCCTTTGGCCATGCTCTGGGTGTTTTCCTGCCGCTCCGGTGGTGTCCAAGCCTGTGGAGGTGGAGGCCATGCTCCGTACGCACGCCATCTTGGAAACCCAATCCATGTAGTGACATCCCTGTGAGCCTCCCTGCGCCCCTCTGCTACTCCCCGAGCCCTGAACACCACCGGAGTGGCAGGAAAACACCCAGAGCGTGGCCAAAGGACCTGATGCTCCCACTGGACCTCCATTACTTGACATGCCTACCTGTTACCTACCTATGTGAGTGCAATTTTACCATTAAATCTGCCTAATTTTAACAGTCTACTCTTAGAGTGGCGCTGCTGTCTCTCTTCTCTGCATTGGGAGTATCTACAATCTCTTACAGCCAGCTGCCCCCTCGGACAAGTCCATACTACTACAAGACCCCCACTGCAGATTGACTTGGACACCACCTCCACCTGGACCTTCCACTAACCCCCATTGCTGATGGTCCATCCGCAAAACGCACATAGGGTAGATGTGTCTCAGTGCTCCCTCCCCCCACTCACCTCTGGACCATGCTGCATGTCTGTCTTGGAATCTCTTGTTCCCGGATACTCTTCAAGGACAGACAAGTGGATTGGCATTTCCTAGCTGGGGTCTGAAGAGGTGCTCCTCACAAAGACTGTGCTATTGATTTATCAAGAGACTGTGCCACTCCAGCTGGAATAGAAAGTCAGGATCTTAGCTTTTTGTCCAGAATTAGGAAATTTGTCCTCAGAGTTATTACCGCAAGTCAAGTTGGGCATCCCATATACCCCTAAACCCTATCCAAGTATCCCTGTCCTGGCCTGAGTTTCAACAGCCATTCCATTACAGCCAGTGACTGAGAAGCAGGATGGAACAGGTGGCCTTGAGACAGCCGGTCTGCTGTTTGGAAGAGGCCAGGAGGGGTCCTCTCTAAGAACTTTAGGTCTGTGTATCAGGATGCTCATGTATGCTAGATGAGGGGAAGGCTGTAAGACAGACTCTTGAAAATGGATTACCCAACCAAAAGCCTGAAGATTCTGAATAGTCTTTTGGATGTTTGCAGATAGCTGAGAAGGAGATTAATTCTTCAGAAGAAGGTCATCTTGGTACTTTCACCTGGATGTCCTGAGATTCCTTGAGGGAAAGTAAGGTGCAAATACCTTTTGTGAGTACTCTGGGTGCAGAGGATAGGCCAAATGGAAATGTGCCAAACTGGAAGTGCTTGTCTCCTAAGGTGAAGTGCAGGAGGAAACTCTGGTAAGGTGAGTAAATGTGAGTAGCCCGTGATGACAAGGCCTCTTGCACAATTCCCTTCCGAGCATGCCTGAAAGTTGGGACAGGAGCTGCAAGGGCAATGGAATGCTGCAGGGGCCAAGAAGCTGGATTTGAAGACCTGATTTACTGGGAGTATTGATGTGCT